TTAGAGTCACCAATTTACACCCTTATTTGTTTGTTTGTTTGAAAGTAAAAAAAACAAATGAACTCTTTTTCCATACAAACATCTATCCTGCCACTTTGTTGACTTGAGTGATAGAGTGATATGTCTGTAACACTCAAATTTCTAATCGTAGTGATAGTTGACATGGTTGGTTCACTATCACATACCTTTTTGTGGAAAACTATGTTTTCTTGTATGAACTAGTTAGATCATTTTACAAAAAATATTCTAGCAATGCATGGCCTAACTTGTTTGGGGGAACCCACGCAGACTAAATTGGATAGCTCTAGGTTTTCTTTCATATCTGCATGCCTTAGTGTTCGCCCTAGAGGTACCCATACTACAAGATCTTTTAGGGGCATTATTTTTTTTATTATTTATGCACACGGTGTCTCCATAGGATATTCTGATTATTTTCTGTTGTTTTCCAGATTGGGTCAGACAAAGAAATACTTTCGTTGAGGGAAGTAGTTAAAGACTCAGGAAGAAAAGTTCAGCAACTGGAATACCTTGTAGATGAGTTACAATTCAAATTTGACTCTTCGCTGTCTCATCTTGGAAGCATGTGCAATACTCTAGCCAAGCCATCAATATTCCTGATTGGTGGTTATAATGGTGTGACCTGGTTATCATCTCTTGATTCTTTTACTCCTGAGAAAGATGCAGTCCTGGGTCTCACACCAATGAGTTCTCCCCGCTCATATGCATCTGCTGCTGTATTAGATGGTCACATATTTGCTTTTGGCGGTGGTGATGGCATGTCATGGTATAACACAGGTATACCATGGCATCTGTAAGATGATTTTGTGACTTCTTTTGCATGAGCTTTCATCTTTAATTGCATGTATTTACTTATCTCTGTTTTTTTGGGTAGTGGAATGCTATAGCTCGAGAAATAATGAGTGGACGGAATGCCCCTCCTTGAACCGGAAGAAAGGAAGTCTTGCTGGGATCTGTCTTAATGAGAAAATATACGCTATTGGTGGAGGAGATGGAAATGAAAGTTATTCAGAAGTTGAGATGTTTGATCCGTACCTTGGGAAATGGATGTGTAGCCCATCTATGCTGCTCTTTGTATGTTCTCAGCCTCAGTTGCATGCATAATTACCCAATTTGGTATTGTTTAACCTATTGCAATGTATCACCTGAATTTATGCTTCTAGTCTGGAATATTTGGATTCTTATAAGTTCAGCAACCTTCAGAATTATGTCCTAACAGTAACAAGAGATATATTCATTTTAAGATGTGTAACATTAGTGCCTATTATGACAGTTCATTGCATAAATGTTTAGATACCCTGCCCAGACTTTTGATGATGTGTTCTAGTAGGATGGCTGGATGGGATACTGTATTACTGAAACAAATCTTTGAACCAACATCTTATTTGGGCTGCGTTATATTTCAGCGGTTTGCTCTTGCTGCGTCTGAACTAAATGGAGTCATCTATATATCTGGTGGCTATGATGGAGACATGTACTTGGAGTAAGATCTGTCACGATTTCCCTTCATGTTGTTACAACATATTCCAACAAAATTACTTCAGAGACTAACAGTGACAAACATACTATATACAGATCAGCAGAAAGGTATGATCCAAGGGAGGGCTTCTGGGTCCGGCTTCCAAGTATGAGTACTAGGAGAGGATGCCACACCTTAACTGTCCTTGGAGACACCCTGTCAGTAATTTTCTCTGATACTTCAGACTTGCGCAGATAACTAAGAGCATCTTTTCTGAGCAGATAGCTAAGAGCATCTTGTTCTTAAATCTTGGAAAGAAACTTAGTTGCAGTGCTGACTTATTTTCCAGATATGCCATGGGAGGGTATGATGGGGACAAAATGGTTTCTAGCGTCGAGATCTATGACCCTCGTCTTAATGCCTGGAGGATGGGTGATCCAATGAACACCCCAAGAGGATATGCTGCTGCCGTTTATCTTGATGATAGCTTATTCCTAATTGGTGGCATGCAGTCCAGTGTGCAGATCTTGGATACTGTAAGTGATCGCGCTATACATACCTCTTACCGTTCAATTCTATGCTATGTTCTGTTCTGTTCTGAAGATAAGTCCTCTCATTTGCTCTAGGTGGAAGTTTACAATGCAAGTTCTGGCTGGTCAGTCCTTGGTTTTAGTTCTATTGGGAAGAGGTCCTTCGCCTCTGCCGTTGTCATGTAATTGCTAGTCAGGAGTTTAGGGTTCACATCACCAAATTTTGTAACATCGCTGCCATTACAAAGAATGGTTAGTATAAATCGGGGTAAACAACCCTTCTGAAGCATTCTGGTTACCAACAGCGAGATACGACAACATGGCGGTTTGAACTTCTAAAATCCGTTCGCCGACTAGAAAGCACATTCACCGCATTGTGTGGATGAACATTTTTTGTTGGATAGGAATGCCCAAACTGATGGAGTATAATGCAAAAGAATCTTTTGTATCACGTTAGGCGCGTTCGCTGGTCTGGTAAAACCAGACCAGCCGGCTGATCCCCCTCACAGAACATTGTTTATCAATCAGCCACTACAGTGTTTCTCTCTCACAAAATCAGTCAGTTTTAGCTAAGTTTTGGACCAGCGAACGGGGCGTTATTGCTTCTGTTTTTCTCCTTAAGTAGGCTTATGTACATGGCAGTGCTTAAAACTTTGAAGATGGTGGTTGAGCAGACTGTTAGCTTTATTCAGCTCTTCTGTTGTCAACTGGGTTGCAGACTGTTAAGAGGATGTCACAGAGTCGGCACATGTTTCTTTTAAATGCATTGGATCTCGTGTGAAGCGGCTAGTGGATCCGTAATAAATTTGTGATTCATGATGCCAAGAAATTTAGGATTTGTCATTCTATTCACTCACAAATCGGTATGTCTGCCTGCCACCGATTGTAACTGTGGGAGCATGGTTTGCCTCTCGCAAATTCTAAATGATGTGGATGGCCTTTTGTTTCCTTCGCATCACTTCAAGTTGGTAGTTTGAGTCCTTTGGACTGCATACATTTCCTATTTCTTTACGGAAATCGATCTGTATCAGTTGATTCCATACTTTAAAATAGCGGCCAAACATTTTCAACTCCTTTGCGTTACCCTGCTGGGTGTAGCGATACTAAAATTTTCAGTGCCGATAAATGAAGTTGTATTGCAGTGGCGACGGGATGTAGCTACAAACTAAGGCCCCCTTTGGAATGATAGATTTTTTTTATTCTTGCGCTTTTTTTTCTGTGAAAAATAAATTGATTCTTGCAAAATTTGTACACAATTCCTGCCTGCCTTCCAAAAGAGACCCTAAGATTGCTAGGCTCATCAGATATAAAGTATATTATATTACGGTGGATTGGTGTACTCATGAAAATACGAAATAACTATTATTCCATATCCATAATAAATAAATTGGTAATGCTCAGGGGCGGGCGTTCATCGACGCCGCCTTCCTGGGCCAGCGCGGCCCACCAAGTCTGCCTCCTTCTCTTTACGTCTCCCACATCTCTCTCTCAAAAATATCTACCCACTTACTCGCTCATCGCACGCTTCACGGCCTCATGCGCCGTCTGCCCGCCCCACTCCGCATTTGCTGCCGCAGCCATCTCCCCGCACGCACCCCACTCTGTGATGTTCGCTTCTCACTCTTGCCCGTCGCGCGCGCCCACCCGCACCTCTCGCTCCTTGCTCACGTAGTCCCACCCGCCGCGCGCCCACCCACGCCGCTCACTCCCGGTCGTTGGGCGCACCGCCCGCCTCTGCTAGTGCTCGTGGTGCCATCGTGCGCCTCAGGTTAGTCCCCGGCCGAGCCAAGGGCACCCATGAGCGCGGCCCGCGCTGGTGGTGCTCGCGCCCCGAGACCAGAATCATCCGGCCCCGACCTCCACTTCCATATGTTGCAAATGTATGTTTCAAGTGTTTCAGATATTTCAGAGGTATGTTACAGGTGTTTCGTATGGATGTTGAAAAAGTAGATCTAGATGTTGCATATATTGCAAGTGCTTCAGAGGCATGTTGCAAGCGTTTGTTCAAAATGTTTTAACTTTTTCAAACGTACGTTGCAAGCGTTTTTAATCTGGATGTCGCACATGTTTCATACCTATGTTACAAAGAGTATGTTTGAAATGTTTCAGTTGTTTGTCTTATGTTACAATAAATGTTTTCATGTTGCAATTTGCAAGTGTTTTATCTGGATGTTGCATATGTCACACACATGTTGCAATTGTATCTTCCAAAGGTTTCATCTACTTCAATCGTATGCTACATCCAAGTGTTACAAGTAGGATTTCTAAATCATAACAACCTTTTAATCGACTTATAGAAAAGGTTTGGAAAAAATAGTACTAAAACCGTTCCAAATTATAGTTCGTTGGACTTTTTCAACCCCAAGTTTGACCACTCGTCTTATTCAAAATTTTGTGTTAAATATCACTTCTTTTGTTGTGGCTTGCTTTATTAATAAAAGTTCTTCAAGAATGACTTAAATTTGACTATGTTTGCACAAATTTTTTGAATAAGACGAGTGATCAAACTTAGAGTCAAAAAAGTCAAATGAATTATAATTTGGAACGGAGGGAGTATAATATCAATGCATCTACTAACAGAAAAGGAGCACCCAGCCACCTGTTGAACAGACAAAAGGGAAAAAAATGTAGATAGAGAAAAAAGTGGGAGTTGACCTTGAGGAAGCACTGAACTGTCTAGCAAAGTTCAGTGAATCCCCTGTCAACTGGTCACAAGGCAAGATTCATCTCCAACTAATGTCAATCTTTGCACCTGGTGTTAGCACATGGATAATAAATGAACAAATCCATTTTCTACAAGCTCTGCAAAAAAGGGGAATAAAAAAATCCTCTGTTGATGTATCAGAATAGTCCATTACTTCTGCTGATGTAGTCCAGCTCCCCTGTGCTCAATGTGTCGGCCTGCAGCGCGTACACTGTCGCCCTGCGTGGCAGTCTAAGCATGCAGCCATGTTATCGGCATGATGATCGCGCTGGTTGTCTCCAAGATCTTCTCATGGAAGTACATCTGACGGCACCTACACACATTTTTGCAGCATCCTGATTCAGAATTCAGATTACACACACATAGCACCATTCATTGTCATGTGTTCTCCATAAGCTGAACTGCACTTTACCTCCCAACATTTGTGGGTGTGCAGCATCTGCAGAGCCATCCCGCAGAGGCTCTTGATGTCCTTTGAGTTGTCCTGAAACCACTGTTTGTTTTGTCGCAAATGTCAGCATAAGGTTCAGGTATAAAATTCAGACATTTTTTTTTGTCAAAGTTCAGAGACTGACCTTGCGTATTCGGCTAGCGTAATGGTTGGCATGGACTGTGTTCATGTCAGCAAAGGGAAGGTTTAGTTCAGGGCTGCTATAGAGGAGATCGTGAACAAGCCAGCCAACCTTAACTGAAAAATCCTAATAAAAATATACAGAACAAAGAGTAGCTCAAATGCATGGAAGGAGAGAGAAAATAAAATGAAACCGGGATCAGAAAAGATGGCTACAATGTCTTGCCAACTCATTGAAAAAAAAACATTTCTCACTGCCTCCTTGCATTTAAGATACGACCACAAACTTTTCACGAGATATGGAAACAAACACAACAGTAAATTCAATAAACAAATTATTATTTTAATGTCAAGCAGAAAACGACATGCCTTTTGGCCTTAGCATCGTGGAAACATGAACATGTTACTTGTTCTAGGAGGGAAACTGAATGAACCTTGGGTACATGTCTGAGTTACAGCTGCAGGTGCCCCTTGCTCAGCTGTGCTACATCCTTGTATTATTGATCTTCATGCCATTTCCTACTTCACTAATTTGATCAGTACCTGCAAAGCCATGACAAATCACCGAATAGCGAATAGTTAATCTTAGAGCAAAGCCAGAGAATTGACGGTGCAAACCTGAATGTAAAATTGGAGCACGACATCATATCCAACTAAGATTTTGGGACCTTTTCCTGCAAGCCACACAACATCAGCGTCCCCAAAGCCAAGCATCTGCATAATGCACCCCTTTGTGGATTCAAGGAAGTAGACCTCCCTAAGTTCATCGGACTGGGTGAGCACCTGACCATATAAAATAATTCTCTTTCACAACGGAAAAAAGAAGAAGTGATATTAGCTGTTTGGAAGGAAAGTCACAACTAATAGCCAGTGTCCTGTGTCCATGTATGTAGTATTACTTAACCAAAGCAAATCAGATTATAATAAACACTCGGATGATAGGAAGGCAATTCCTATGCTGTCTATGCGTGGGAAGAGCATTACTTCCTTAAATCAGATGAGATACAGGAAGGCCAGGAACTCACCAAGTGGCTTGATAGCATGTGGGGTAAAATACATCTTCACATGCGAGGCTTTTGTATTGGTCAATTTGTTGGGAATTTTAAAAAACATGCACACCTTTTGTTTTAGCTCAGTTATATCAAAGTGAACACTATTGCCTCATTTTAAGAATCTAGAGGTTTTCATGCTGATAGCCTGATACTTAAAGTTGTTATTGGTCAAGATGGTCAATCCTCTGAATCTGTCATGACTGCATTGCACTCTGGAAAGTTCACAGGATAATATTGATGGTTCGGCTGTATCTCTGAAATTAGGGTGAGTTGCAAGCAGCCTTTTCTTTCATGCAGGATTAAATTTACTGAATACAGAACATTTGCCAATTTTTATCTAAAAGGCAAAATAGCCATTTTGGTCCCTAAACTATTGTCCGAAGCTCAGTTTGGTCCCTGAACTTTTAAATTGTCTACTTTAGTCCATAAACAATGGATTTGCAGCTCAATCTCGTCCATCCCCCTTCATGGCTCGCCATGTAGCCAGCAATACATGCGAAAATGTCACTCTTGCCCCTTGCTCCCTCCTTTACCCGCTCGCTAGACTCACGGTGTTTCCCTCTCATCCCCATTTCCTCTCTCTGTCTCGTACGTCGTCTCTGCCGAGGAGGAAGAGCCATTGGCAGACGGGTCTACCCAGTTCCCTCTCCCCCGTGTGCTTCATCCAGTTCATCTCCCCTGTCTCCCCCGTCTCTGAGAGGGAGGAAACGACATGTGAGCCTGGCCAGCGTTTAAAGGAGGGAGCAAGAGGCAAGAGCGACATTTCGCATGTATTGCTGGCCACGTGGCGAGCCATGAAGGGGGACGGATGAGATTGAGCTGCAAATTCATTGTTTAAGGAATAAAGTGGACAGTTTGAAAGTTCAGGGACCAAACTGAGCCTCAGACAATAGTTTAGGGACAAAAATGGCTATTTTGCCTATCCTAAACCCTATAGACCAAATGGACAAACTTCTCTAGCCACATGGATGACCTCAAACAAATATTTATTATAGACACTAATACAAAATTATAAAAGGCACTTCTTACTCAGGCCAGTCGTATTGGTCTTCCAGTAGGGCACGTTCATTTCCCTTCAGCTTCAGCTCTGAAGAATTATCCAACTGCTGATGTCAGTTCAGGTACCTATGGTCACAGTGAATCTATTGAGTTCCATGCGTAGAGTAGTTCACACAAAAGCTTAAAAATTTGAGAAAAGGAGAGCATTGTACTTAAACAGTATTTCAAGATTTAAAAATGGTAATAGTATCAATTTTTAGGAGAAGATTGCAACTTGATTATGCACCTCAGGGACCGCCATTGAGCGCAATCGATTTGTGACTTCAGACACTTCATCTTTAATCAGCAAAGAAGGGGCCTGGCAGTTCCTACTACACACAAAAAGAGAATGATAAATCAGAATTTGGGCAAATATTAACTAATTGCCTTTTTGTGGTTTCCAAACTTTACATGATTGAAACAAGTATGACATCAATATGTAGGCATAATAGATAATACATATCAAGTTAACTGCAGTGAAAATATCATGAACTCTACACATAACTCTGTCCCAATAGCACATATTCTGTGAAGCAAGAAGCCAAGAAGATAATGTCAAAGCATCATATAGTATAGTAAATTTGTGATGATGGAAACATCAATATTTGCGTGCATACATGTGGCTTAATTTGAATGAGCAATTCAAGGGCATTGTAGACAAAACCAGTTTCATGTTAACTGAAGTGTGGCTGCGCAGTGTCTGGCTTTTGTAATCTATGTCAAAAAATGAAAAATATCTTCAAGGCCTATGTGTGACAAGGAAGTCTGATGCACAAAGGATACTGAAAAGCGCTAACTTGGAAGGATAATCCAATAGCTAAACCGCTTACCCTGACAAATCAGTGGTAGTATCAAATTAACTAAACGAGAATTCATATCTAAAACGGTTGTTCCAAGAAATGCGATCATCAACTACTTTAAAAGAATGGCGCGGTCAAGTAACAGTGCTTTGCCAAAAGCATATTCTGTTAGTAAAGTTCACCAATCTGCAGTGCCAAATCCAAACTATGGATGAGGGTCAGGCCCCCATTCGGCAGTTGGCACAAGTTCTTTTTAGTTTTATTATGCCAAACCAGAATTATTCTAGATGAAGTTGAATTGGATTTTCTTAATTAAGAACAAAACAAACAAAGAATTAATTGACACAAATTGCCAAATTGGCTAAGCATCTAATTATTAGCCACCTACAATAGAAAGTTTGTGACTTGTGAACAATGGCATTTACAAAATAAAACACAAGTAAATTGAGATATCAGGGATCAGATGCCTGGACCTTTCAGCTGGATATCGTCGTTTGCCCGTGCTTGACTTGTTTTTTTTTTTTGAATGTCATGCTTGACTTGTTGTTACCAGTGTCGCAGGTTCCATATGTTTGTTTGGACAATCTACAATTTATCAAATAACTTATTATCAAATTTCTAAGCAATTATAATGTGGAAATGGCAAAAAAATGCTTACAGTTACAGGCTGCAGCATTACCTGCTATGCTGTTGGCCTGCTGCGGTACTGCCTTTTGCCCGCCTCTGCCTGGCGCTTGCTGCGGGCTGCAGTCGGCTGGGGGTTGGCCGAATAGGGTTTGGGCGCTGCCGGGCTGGCTTGCGATGCTGCCCGTTGCGGCGCGGCCTGGTGCGGCCGCCTGCCTGTGGCCCGACGGAGCCGACCTGCTGCCTGTGCGCGATGCCTCTGCTCTACCGCTGCCGAAGACTGGAGTGCCGGCTGCCTGCGCCGCTCCCCTGCTAGGCGACTCGGCCGGCTGCTGCTCGTCGCCGTCGTCTGCGCCGCCCCAACCCTAGGTGCGAGGCTAGCAGCCGCTGTTCGCTGCTCCGTTCTCCTGTTCGCGGAGTCGCGGTCGCGAAGGCGTGGGTTCTGGGCGCCAGGGGTTGCACCGCAGGACGCCGCGGCGAAGGTCCGGAGTGCGGGACGCGGGGCGGAGGCGGTGGCCAGGTGCTGGTGAAGATCGGGACCAGGGGAGGCGCGCGTGACTGGGGAGGAGATCGCCTGGGAGCTGATTGGGAGGAAGTCTTCCTTTTTTGCCGGATGCGTTCCTACGGGGGAGTTACCCTTCCTAGATGACTGGAATTCGAATTCTCACATGTCCCCGTCGCTATGGCCGTCGATGCGGGATGGGATAGGATCAGGGGCCGGTGTCTGCGGGAAGGGCGGGGACACCGGGGAGGCGGCAAACGGGGTTGGGGCGGCGTGTTGGGACCGAGTCGAGAGGAGCCTGGAGGATGGAGGGCCGGCGGTGGGGCCAGCTACCGGGTGGGGCGTGGGATCGCAGGGGAAGAGCATTTTAACCGTGTGCCATTATAAAAGATCGATATTACCTGTATATCATAAAAAAACAAAAAGTTCTCCAGTATCCTTGCATAAAATTTTTTACTTGTAACAGTAGCTAACGGACAGCGAAAATGACTCTTTTATCCTTAGTTGTGGTATACATCAAATTTTCCCTGTTTCCTCTGGTGCCACTACCGTGTTGTAAAAAACTTCACTTTTCCTCTATACCACTATGACAACTTGTGTGTGTTCACATAAAAATTCAAATAAATATAAAATCAACAACTGCGACAACCAATAAATATAAACTCGACGATTGCGACACCCAATATATATAAATTAGATAATTGCGAGAACCAATAAATATAACAATTGTGACAATTCCAATAAATAAAAATTAAACAATTGCGACAACCAAAATACATTCAGACATAAACGAGGTCTAAAATTATCATCCACATACATAGTCAGCTTGATTACAAAGTACAGTTCGAAGACAAAAGATGATCACATTAACATCATTACTAGTTTAAATATTGTTTGGTCATACAGACCTCAAGTACTACAAAAGCAGTATGCCATAGAGATGCAAACTCATCAAAGATCAAGTTTTTTCTTGCTTCTAGTTCCCATGGCCGGACTAGAAGGGGAACTAGGGACCTTGCTGCGGGTTGACATGGCTGGACTAGCCTTGTTTGAAGTCAGTTTTTTCGGAATGGCCCTCTTCTTCTTGTGCTGTTGTTGACTTGCACTCTTGTCAGCTGTGTGCTACTCACTTGATCCTGAAGGGTAAGTAATCGTCAAAGGATCTAGATGATTCGACCCTGTTCCAGATCCTCTGAAAAAGGAGACATGAGGAAAAACAGTTAGTTAACCTATTAAAGTGGTGAAAAGATAATTATAGGAAATTAGCTTACCTCACAGAAGGGTCACTAGCCTCAGCAGTTGAAGTATTGGAAGTACTCTTTTGTTTCTTCGCAACAGTATTGGAAGTATTCTTTTGTTTTTCCCTGGTTCACTCTTTTCAATGTTATAATCAAATTCATTCTTGATAGCATGTGTTGCAAGAGCCAACTTAAATTCATGCATGTTTGGATAGATGCTCCCTTCTTCCATAGGAGGGTCATCTTTGTTGTATGCAACATCAGGGATGTGAGATGGCACTCTATCCTTAACAATCTCATCTACCTCAGCATCCATATCAAAGTCAGACATAGAATCGGATTCAGAATTTGAATCTGGATCATAATCTTCATCCTTTTCTCATTTGTGTCAACATTTGCATAAGAAGCAAGTGCTATGTCAATATATAAACCCTCCTCATTACCTCCCACATGTTCATTCTCTAGTTCAAGATTCATAAGATAATTATCATCAGCCTGTACCATGTCATTATCTGGTTCTATAGCAGTCCCAGTTTGAGTTCCTTTGCTAGGTTCTACATAGCCAGGGGTTGACATTGATGGGTGCATGGGATGTCAACATTGTCCCATAGTGGAATTTCGGGTGGATCAGTATCAGGTTTATGATATGCAATTGACATGCAACAACACTTGGAGCTCATATGTTTCGCGAACCTATGCATTAAGTCTTGGTCTAAATGAATTTGTATGTTGGACTTGCTATCAGCACAGAAATAGAACAGTTTCACTACATCACCATACCCGCAAGGAAACTCATCCACAATTTCATCAACAAGGTCTTTAAAATTTATGGTGTCTGAATCAACAACTTTGTTAATGCCATACCATGGTCCACGCATAGTTGGACTAATTAACCTGATTTCTAGATTGAAAATGGTCTCGATGTCATTCCTACAGATGAACAACATATATATCTACACAGTTTAATCCAATCCTAACCACACCAAACATGGCACTGATGTTATGCAATTGCAGCAAGGGAAGGAGAACTCACCCATCTGGAAGCCAAGCTGGTCGCCCGTCCGCCATCTTTTCTGAATCCGCGAGAAATCCGGCATGCTGGAGCCTCAGGCGACCCACGCGGACCTAGCCCCTGCATCCTCCCCACGTGTGGGCCAGCGGCCTCCCCGCGCGAGGCCCCACGGCCTCAGCCGCGCCCGCTCCCGCGCCAAATCAGCCAGCGCCTGGCCCCCACGCGAAGCTGCGCCCGACCCTCGCGCGCGCGACTCACAGCGGCCACGCCTCCCTCGTTCCCCTCAGCGTGCACGTCGGCTGCTCCTCCACGCCCACCCGCTTGCTCCCTGCTGCTCCTCCACGCCCACCCGCCTGCTCCCTCCTCTCCTCTAGGGTTTGGCTCTTAGGTTGAAGTGGAGAACGAACATCAAGTGAAAGAAGAACCAGTGGGATTGACTAGAAAGAGTGATGGGCAAAAAAGTAATTTCATGTCTAACTGGCACCTAGCTCTATTAGAATCAGACGGCAAAGTGACGGAAGTGGCATGTAGGGAAAGAAAAATTCATGC